TGAAAAGAAAAGCAAGTTTGATGCTGCAGAAAGTGCATCAAAAGTATATGATGATAAAAAGAACTATGATGACATTTCAAGTATTTCGAGCTCTTCATCAAAAGGATCTAGGTCGAGAAGCAGGTCGAGGTAATAACGAATATGCTTTCTCCTATTTTTTTTTTTTAAATATTAAATGAATCTTTTATATTAAAGAACAAACCGTCCTACAAGAATATATAATGCAAGATCCCGAAGTCGGGAATATAATAGAAAATATCCTGTCTATAGAGACCGAGGTCGTTCTCGTTCTCGGTCTTATTCTCCAGTCAGGTACAGCGAGCGCTATTATCGTAGTAATAACTACCGAAGCCGATCGCGCTCTAATTCCAGAACTAGGTCTACTTCTAGAAATAGACTTTTGCATAAGGTAATTTTGTTTTGTTTTTTTTTTCGAGGTAAAGAATATTATTGTATAATGTATAAATCATTCAATATTTTTCTAATTTATTTCTTGAATACGTTAACAAAATAGTGCCCAAAATAAATTTGTTTTTCAAAGACATGTACAATATTATTTCAGTACTGAACAGGCAACAATTTATCTAAACTAGCTTACTTTCTAATTGTACTATTAAATTTAATAAAGCAACTGAAAAATTTTCAAAATAATTTGGAATAAATTTTCTTTTTATGGATAAATAAGAAAATTATTTATTCTCATTAAAACTAATAAAGAATATAATGAAAACTATTTTATTTTAGTCTTACGATCGTGACCTCTATAGAAAGCCAAGAAGGCTTTGGGAAACGAGTATGGGTAGAGGAGGATACACACATGAAAAATCCGAAAAAAGAATTAATGTCCCTTCAGCAGCCAGACCATCTACTGACACAAAGCGTCAGATAGCTCCCACACCAAAAGAGCTTGTTCAACAGGTAGAATCATTATCTTGCCTTCCTATAACAATTTTATGTAAAATTATTGATGACAATTAACAATTTCAGGCATCAAAATTATCCGCTGAAAGATATAATTTAGAAAAATATCGTTTTGCTGTTGAAATAATGGAAAGTGAAATGGAAAAGGTATTAGCAAGTCATGAGAAAAGCCCTGAAAAACATCCTTTATATCCCGATGAGTGGAAGAAGTTTTGGAATCGAAGATATAAGGAACTTCAAGCGGGTATCTAATACTTTTCAAATATACAAAATAAATTTTTACACAATTAATAAAATTATTTGAGCAAGTGCTAAATTTTTTTTAGAAAATAAGGATCCAGCCAACATGACTTCAAAACTGAGTGGATTAAATTTTGGACGGAGCGTATGAAACAACTGCATAAAGAGGAAATTGAAAGCAAGCGAGTTAAATTGCGAGAAAAAATAATATTAAAGAAAATGCTGAAGAACAGAGTGTTAATAATCTTAAGGAGCAATATATATTGAAAGTTAAACCTTCATGCCATATTGATTCGGAAATCATAGTTCTTGATGATGATAGGGTTAGTGACAGACAATCTGGGACTAGTCAACACAGCGAAAATAAGAGAGCACCTAGCAGATCATTAAAGAGTGCAAGTCCTTGGGATGATGATGACGATTTTGATGTAAAATCTAGAGTGTCAAGAGCATCTTCCAAGCGAATTATACATGAGACTGGTGAACGCAATAAAACTTATGACGAATGGGCTAAAGATTATTATGGTCCCAATAAATCAAAGACAACATTCATTCGAGAATTACACACAAGCAATGAACAATATCCAGCTTTAGATCCTTCCGAATCTCTAAATAGTTTTCAGTTTTGAGACTATTAACAGCATTAGAAGATGTTCTAGGTAGTTTAGGGCCAAAAATAATCAATATGCTTTCTACTGCTTTAGCAATGGAAAAGAAAAAGCCAATTCTGCAGAGGATCTATTATTGAATGATGCAAACAGTGTAATGTTTGAGACGGTTAAGGAGAAGCTTAAGGGACAATTGTTTGCCGGAATTCTTGATACACAGAAAATTCAACCAGTTAAAACGGCTATCCAAAAAATAGCAACATTGTTACATCAAGCCTCAGAAAAACAAAAGCAGAATGAAGAAGAAGAGCGCAAAGCTTTGGCTGCCAAAAAACTAGAGCCAGTATCTGTGCCAGGTGTGGGTGCTGTTGATAAAGCAGCAATAGCTAAACAAATTGCAAATGCTCTAATGGCTCAGGGTAAACCAAATGTCACCACAGATGAATTAGACCAACTTATCAATGCAGTAGTAGGAATGGCAGGTGCACATCTCAAGCATCCAGTAAACCTTTGACAACGGTGCTTATTTAGCCCAGTTACAAAACACAAAACTAGT